TCACTCCTTACACAGGCAGTTGTAGAGAGCATTGTGATGAAATGAAATCTCTGTTTAATCTGTTAAGTGAGTGAGTGAGTTTAGTTTTACGCCTCACTCGACAATAGTCCAGCTATATGGCGACCATCTGTAAATAATCGAGTCTGTACCAGACAATCCAGTGATCAACAGCATGAGCATCGATCTACGCAGTTGAGATACGATGCCATGTGTCAACCAAGTCAGCGAACCTGACCACCCGATCCCGTTAGTCACCTTTTACTCTGTACATTAGTGATAACACTGACAGTCATATCTGTATATCTCCGTTCAGTATACTACGGTTATCACAAACTCACAGGGTCGTGGTTTTTACTTCATCGTGACTATTTTCGTCAGTTTGTTATAAAAGGTACTTTAAAGTGTGTTGTATTCGTGAACCGACCTGGCTCACTTAGCTATTGCACTCAGTGCTGGACATAGCACCTCTCATGAATCACAGCGTTTTTCAAACACTGACCATCGTATATTTAATAATACTTATACATGGATTCTGTATATGAAAGACGTTTCTGCCATAGTCAAGAAATAGAAAGACACGCGTCTTACAAGTTAACAGAGACAGAAGAGGGAGAATAAAGTTTATTATAGTGTCACATGTTATATGCAGTTTATAGTAAAGTACGTACACAGACAATAAAACATAACATCCGACCAGGTACATGCATGGCAAGCGAAAAACATATGTTTACAACCATACATCAGAGTAAGGTAGATAAACACATATACCTACAAATTGGTTAGTGTTAAGTTACGAAAATATGTCAAACATACCTACGATGCGCCCGCACACACAGCCACAGCCACACACGCACACACGCAGACACACACACACACACACACACACACACACACACACACACACACACACACACACACACACACAAAATAATAATAAAAAATACAAACAAACTATAATACAATTATCCACAAAAACACAACTAACCTTTCGACAACGCCCCCTTCCCCTTTCCCGCATGCACGCACACACGCACGCACGCAGACTATTCGTGCCACAAACACATTATAAGAAGATATAAAAATATTCCCAAGCGGAATTGCAACATACAAGTACAAAGATTAAATGAATGTCAACATTTGATCAATTAATTTACGAAGATTGTAATAGCTTACTTCACATCTGAGTAATGTGATAAATATATCAGGTGAAGGTAGGTTTAAGAAATCTTACGTACATTCTCTCATAGCGCTCATAACATTATAACGTAAACCATCATACACATTACAGTGAGTGAGTAATGGCAATATCACAGTAGGGGACACCAGAAATGGGCTTCATACCTTGTACCCATGTGGGGAATCGAACCCGGGTATTCAATTTGACGAGAGGACGTTTAACCATTAGGCTACCCCGCCGTCCCCATACATATTACAATAGACTGAATCCACTGTCTCTACTGCCCTATCCTAGAGGGTCGACTGCACCTCACTTCTGAAATGTTAAAGGGGAGGCTGCCACTGCCTAAAAAGTGAAAGAATATATTCCAGTGTTTCCATGGATGTAAGACACAGGTCCATCGTAAGAAATCTATAGGTCCTTAACTTATTACCATTAGAATTATTTGTAACATTCCAAAGGAGTGTGAACTGACCGCGGTGTCATTGTCTGGGCTCGATCAAGCTGAGGTTTTCGTTTCTAGCAAGCTTGTACACTTCCTTTTCCAATGAGCACACCCTTTCACCTGACCATAAGCATGAATAATACGGGGCAATCTTGTAATTTCCATATTGCTACGGTAGAAAGATAAACGAATTCTAAGCTTTGTTTAGTGACGCATCATTTCCAAGCAAGATCTTCCTGGCAGCAACGCGTTACATAAGGGCCAAGAAAATTAAATGTTTTTTCAGTGTGCTTATCTATTTTTGTTCATAGAACACTCAGTTCATGAAATGTTTATTACATGTATAAGTAGCAAAATGCCTTTTCACAATATATAAAAGATCTCTGCTGAAAGTGATTCGATTTTCAGTTCCGACTATATCATACGCCTGTGTTTATAGTGACGATACCAGGTTTTCGCGGAATGGTGAACGTATCCTACCCCATAGCTGGCACCCGTCATAAACATCTGTAAAGGCTATTTAATTGTTCATCTGAAGTAGAAATCGGGAAACAGTCGGAATATTTCTCGACATTTTGGTTAAGTTGACTACTGGAATGTTTTGACAGTGATTTTACTTGCTACACGTCGTCAACAGTCACCAACGTCAACCAAGGACGCTACGTCGTCGGTTCGGAGATGGGTTTGTCCTGGGAGAGGATGGGAACAGGTTTCCTGTCTTCTTCGTTGATGACAACAACAGTGGAGGTCTCAGTGTCATCCACGCGGCGAGATACACACAGGAACACCCTGTAACACGTGGATATGTATTATATATCTTCACCATTTTCAAAATATTTTTCAAACCTACAAAGTATACAACAGCAACATATGGCAGTGCAACATTTGTACAATCTGTTAGACAAAGAAGTGTTTGTTGTTAAACGTCGCACTCAGCAATATTCTAGCAATATCACAAGAATGTCTGTATATAATCGAGTCTGGACCAAACAATCCAGCGACTAACATCACGAGCATTGTTCTACTCAGTAGGGATACGATGACGTGTGTCCCTTTAGTCGCTGATAGTCGCTCTTACCCGGTCAGTTAGTAAAGTTAAAAAACCAAGAAAATACAGATAATAAATAGGGAGACCTCATTTCACGTCAGAAGTTCCGGTTGGCTATGGGCCTCCTGGACCCCATACAGACACCATACGTCTGATGTTCCGGTTGGCTATGGACCACCTGGACCCCATACAGACACCATACGTCTGATGTTCCGGTTGGCTATGGACCGCCTGGACCCCATACAGACACCATACGTCTGATGTTCCGGTTGGCTATGGACCGCCTGGACCCCATACAGACACCATACGTCTGATGTTCCGGTTGGCTATGGACCGCCTGGACCCCATACAGACACCATACGTCTGATGTTCCGGTTGGCTATGGGCCGCCTGGACCCCATACAGACACCATACGTCTGATGTTCCGGTTGGCTATGAGCCTCCTGGGCCCCATACAGACACCATACGTCTGATGTTCCGGTTGGCTATGGGCCTCCTGGGCCCCATACAGACACCATACGTCTGATGTTCCGGTTGGCTATGGGCCTCCTGGGCCCCATACAGACCCCCATACGTCTGATGTTCCGGTTGGCTATGAGCCTCCTGGGCCCCATACAGACCCCCATACGTCTGATGTTCCGGTTGGCTATGGGCCTCCTGGGCCCCATACAGACCATCATACGTCTGATGTTCCGGTTGGCTATGGGCCTCCTGGGCCCCATACAGACCCCCATACGTCTGATGTTCCGGTTGGCTATGGGCCTCCTGGGCCCCATACAAACCCCCATACGTCTGATGTTCCGGTTGGCTATGAGCCTCCTGGGCCCCATACAGACCCCCATACGTCTGATGTTCCGGTTGGCTATGGACCTCCTGGGCCCCATACAGACCATCATACGTCTGATGTTCCGGTTGGCTATGGGCCTCCTGGGCCCCATGCAGACATGCACATCATCATACGTCTGAAGTTACGGTTGGCTATGGATCGTCTAGACTCATACAGACCCGTGAAGATCCGGGGTAGAATAGGTCTTCAGCAACCCACGCTTGCCACAAAAGGCGACTATGCTTGTCGTAAGAGGCGACTAACGGGATCGGGTGGTCAGGCTCGCTGACTTGGTTGACACATGTCATCGGTTCCCAATTGCGCAGATCGATATTCATGCTGTTGGTCACTGGATTGTCTGGTCCATACTCGATTATTTACAGACCGCCGCCATATAGCTGGAATATTGCTGAGTGCGGCGTAAAACTAAACTCACTCACTCACTCACTGGTCTCATACAGACCCCTATACGTCTGAAGTTCCGGATGGCTATGGATCTCCTGGACCCCATACAGACCCCTATACGTCTGAAGCTCCGGATGGCTATGAGCCTCCTTGACCCCATACAGACCCCTATACGTCTGAAGCTGCAGATGGCTATGGATCTCCTGGACCCCATACAGACCCCAATAGGTCTGAATTTCCGGTTGGCTATGGACCTCCTGGACCCACATCTGGATATATACTCACACTATGATAACTCCAGCCAACAGTTGGCATCCCGCACAGACGAAGAAGACAAAACCACGGAGCATCTTCACAGTGCCATCATACATCTCGTTGAAAACTGTTACCCCTGTACCTTCCGATATGATGTTCACAAGTCCGATACCGGCAAATAGAGATCCTGAAATCAATATTCTAACTTTTAATACACAACATCTAGTTGGGAAGAACAACCACAAGACGAAAAACAGATCTAACTTGAGATCAGTATTTGGAATGTTTCACCTCAATGTCGAAATGTTTTTCTTTTCTTTGAACGGAGCACATGGTGAAACATCAAACCGTTTTCATTACAAGAAAGATAAAAAAGAAATTCTCCGATTCTCATACATGGTTCCGTTACCATCAGGGCGGAGGGGAAGCCTAGTGGTTAAAAGGTTCGCTCGTGAAGATTCGGTTTCGATTCCCCACAAGGTACAATGTGTGAAACCCATTTCTGGTGATCGTCCGCAGTGATTCTGCTGGAATATTGCTATAAGCGGCGTAAAACTAAACTCGCTCACTCACTCTACGCAAATATATTTCTGGTAAAGCGTGGTTTGTACACAGGGAATAGAATGACTTTTTCAGATTTGACATTCAAACACTGAGAAAGGATGCCCTCACCGTATCGCGACCATCTGGTATCATTACCATTTGATGCTGATTGATAATAAGATGCTTACGATGAAGCTGAACTCGTCGATTCTATCCTAATGAGTGTAGAATACACCTGGGAATAACGTCATAAACAATACTGCGAATGGAGGAAGATGAAAGATGACGTCAACGATTATAGCTACTTACCCTGCATTTCAGCAGGAGCTGTCCGCGACATGATAGCTCGCAGTGCTGGCATCAGAGGGGCGGCAATACCATTTGGTACAAGAACTGCAACAGGAATAGGAATAATCATTATACAGGATCAAATATTAAAATATCAGTATATAGCGTTTGTTCTAAATACGTAAAATGATATACCAATACTAATTATCCATAACTTAAGTAAACTCTTGTAAAATAACCAGAAGTGCTTTTGCAAACGTTATGATATTTACTGTGTTCATTCATTTTCGTTACTGCGAAGTCAGAGGTGACCTAGCGGCTCAGCAATATTTCAGCTATATGGCGACCTCCGGAAATAATTGAGTCTGGACCACGCTATTCATATTCACAGACTTTATGAGTGAGTGAGTTTAGTTTTACGCCGCACTCAGCAATATTCAAGTTGTATGGAGGCGGTCTTTAAATAATCGAGTCTGGACCAGACAATCCAGTGATCATCTTGATGAGCATCGATCTGCGCAACTGGGATACGATGACATGTGTCAGCCAAGTCAGCGAACCTGACCACCCGGTCCCGTTATTCACCTTTTACTCCGTACATCAAACTAAGTAGATGAGGCTAAACACCCACTCCCAGACGCCTCTTAAGACAAATATAAGTTGCTGAAGACCAATTCTAACCCGGATCTTCACGGGTCGACTTACACATGAAGAGCATGAGGTCAGTGTTGGCGAATCCGTGAAGGACATAGGCTCCTGCCTGAATAACAGATGTAATGATGCATATTCCTGGGTCTGAGGTGCACAGATAGAGAAGTTTGATGACTGGAATTCCAAGTAATTGTCGAGAGAGGGAAAACGCCATATTGAAATAGCCAATGAGTTCTGGCCCCCAACAGAAAGGCAAGTTCAGTTGGAAAAGGTATTCAATATAATTTACACCACGCTGACTGAAATATAATATGAAATACGACGCCAGTGAGAGCCAGAAAAGCCTTCTCTTTGGTCCAAAACCTTTCGAAAAGTAGAATCCGAAGACATTTTTTACTGCCTTCCCCGGAGATGGGTATTGGGATCTTCTATCTGAGTCGATAGTTTCAGGGAGAAGAACAACGACAAGGATTAGTGCTAGAAGCATGAGTGAAGCCGTAGTTATGGACGGGTAGAGGTAACCTAGGTCTTTGATGAAGAATCCGGTAACGACCGAAGAAACCGCAGCCGCCAAGTAGGCAGAGAAATCTATCACAGCGATGCCAAGTGTCCGGGAATTCTTAGGTGGTGTGTTGTCAGCCGTGTAGGCATAGCTAGCCAGAATCACACCATTGTATCCCCCTGTAATTCCTTCAAACACCTCACCAATGTAAAGGTACCTCAGATCTAGATTCCAGTAAATAACAACTGTCAGCAACCAAAACTTCAGAACCTCTCCGATTAATGGTACCACAAAGAGGAACCGTCGACCAAGGAAATCAGAATATGCTCCCAGAAACATACAGCTGATTACTGCTCCGGAGTATCCAATGGCAGTCAGTATTGTCTGACAGTTGGAAGTAAGATCCTGAACCTTTTCCTGTAACAGGTATCCTGGATCCGACTTATTGACGTAACACTTGGATGTTTGGTTCCGAGTCTTGGAAAATACGGTGCTGTTATCGAACTCCTCATCGTAGTACCTCTTGTAAAGGTATTGCGTTAACAGAGGATTACGAATGTTGATTGCCAAATGGAAAACAATAAACACAAGGTTGGCTTTGAGTAGATTTCCAAGTTTTGACTTGTCTTCTTTATCCTTGTTTTCAAGAAGAGGAGTAGACTCCATGTTTGCCCAGTATCATGCAACCAAGATATTGTGGTCCACCTTGCTTCACCTGCTACGAGTAAATGCTCTGTAGCCTGTTGCCAGTGTCCAGGATATGACCCTGACTTGGTATGTGTGACATGCGGACCAAAAGGTCAGAGTTTATGATAATACTTAAGATAATCAATTGTATGATGATCGCGTGATCCGACTTCCTTCACGATTTGGCTGTGTGAACAAAAGATGTTCATTGTGGTATTGTTAGTTTGTTTCTATCATTATTTTGATTGGAACGGTATTTTAATGAAAATCTTTAGTTGCTAAGAATCATTCCTTTTTGACAATCTATGTGGATATGTCAACTCATTGTGGATCAAGAACAACCTCTTGTGACCTTCAGATAAATATAGCGATAATCACGCGAGGATCACACATTCATGGCAGTTATCATCAGCTAATCTGTACAATGAATCACACAGATGATATTTCTATATTGGAATGAACGAAAATTTCGAATATTTACTTTGCATACTCTGTTGTTGAATTTCAGACAAAAACGTAGACGACATTTGCATCGTTATGATCTAATGAACGTTAAGTAACAAATATGGATATATAACATATTTATATACTCATGCCAATAATGGTTGTCACCCCCTTCAATTTGTTTAATTGGAGAGGGGGTGTGGGGTGGGATGTGAGGTGTGTGTGGGGTTGGGGTCGGGGGGGGTGACAACCATTATTGGAATGAGTATATATTACACGTAGTTAAATTTGTTGTGTAAACAGACAAACGGAAATCGATGAAAACCGCATTACTCCTGTGAATGGAACACTGCCTGGATGGAATTTAAGATTATCATTTTATATGCAAATGAGTCATGTTGCAGGAGGGATTCATACAGTAAGTAGCGAGTTAGTTACTAGCGAATCTATCCATATTCTGCACAGGTGAAGGGTTGACACTGCCGCATCGTTGGGATTATTAAACGTTGAGGAAAGTCGCGTGGATTGCTTCCATATAGGAGGAAAGATACGCCAAAGTAGGACACCGTTTTCGCAAACGACGTTCATTATATTCCCGACATGATCGTCTCCAAGACTCGTGGTTCACACAGATGTGCATTGCGTAAAGCTACTGTGTACATGGTAGAAGCACCACATATTGATAGCAATATTTCTCACTTCATATCTCGAAGAAATTGTACTGAAATGATACTTTAGACGTTTGATACAAGTTTGAGTGTGGCTAAATTTGATTTGTCATTATCTATTCTTACGGAGTAGCCCATTATTAGATTTATTTTGACAGGTATATTCAAATTTAAGAGAAATAACTTCACTCTAAGCTGCTCCCACATGTAGCCCAAAGGAAATACTATATATATTTTTTGGAACCCATGTTTCCATGATTGTTGCATTTTCTCACAAATGTAAAATGTGGCACAGTAGTAAGTGTACTTAACAATGACTACATTGGGTACTTTCCGCACTCACATCTGACTACATGGTTAGAGGTTGATTACTTTACACACAAAAAACCCCGTATACATATGAACAGTTTCAATTTCTTCATGGTTTTCAACACCCCAGATAATATTGGTATAACATATGTTAAATTTTGGATTTGTTTAGTAAAGTACAGATTCTTGTATCTTTTGTTGGGTTGAGTCCCATCCGGGATTCGAACCCACACCCTCAGAGTCAGGCACATAATCGCCAGTCAGGCGCCTAACCCGCTCGGCCACCGCGGCTTCCACAAAAATGGAAGTCGGAAATCTGGTAGTCTAGACTACGGACTTTGTGTGAGCTGAGGCTGAGCAGGTTAGGTAATCCCCAATATAACATATGTTACACGTGACCACTTTCTAAATGGCATTGTGTATTCATAATTCTAAGTATCAAATATTTTAATTATTTTAACTCATATGGATAATATTTGAACATGTTTAAAGATTTAAGAACACCTTAAAGTATTTTCTTCATTCGTCCCACGAGCAGTTCATGATAGTGATCTTGCAAATAACACACCTAGATATTTATAGAAAGTAACACATTCAAGTTGATCACATTCCATGGTAATTGGAATACCATATCTCATGCTTATATAACATGCCACCATTTTTAATACAACAGTTTTAGTTTTGTCTAGATTTACGATTAAATAATACGGTTGAATTAAAAGCTCCCGTGTGCTTCTGCAGGCCATAAACAGTGTAAGCAATGATTACAATATCTTAGGGAATAATAGGCTATCAGGGTGTAAATGCATACAAGTGCTCGTGTCGATTCAACTTAGTCTAAAGCTAATTCATTTATAAAAAGTAAAAATAGTAATGGGCTAGGTAGACACCCTTGCCTTACGCAAGGTGGGCAGTTGAATACGTCTGAGAGTATTTATTGTCTCTTACACCACCTTTCACACAACTATTTATTGATCTGAGTGCATTTAACATTTCTGTGGGAAATGCTCTTAAACTTAAAAATATACCATAATTTGGATAGGCGGGCAAAGTCGATGCATTTCCAAAGTCCGCTAATACTCTGTACAGTTAATCCCACTCCTTTGAGGTGAGGTGAGGTGAGGTGAGGTGAGGTGAGGTGAGGTGAAATTGGGTTGTACGTCGTGCTTGAGCCCACTCCTTTGACAGTTATCAGACTGTAATATGTACAGGTTATCTGTTGTGCTATAAACTTCCCTAAAACCAACCTTCTGGTATCATTCGGCCCAAAATGATAAAGTATATTTCAGTATGGATGTATATCACTTCCTAAAAGTGCTTAAAAGCGACATGCCTCTGTGGTTATTGGACTATTTTGCTGCCATTTTACCAATGTTGCAGCTATGCTGCTATTTCAACCATTTCATTACCCCCTAGGAATATTACCCCTCCCAGTGTGTAAGCTTCCATGATCAAAAAGTGTAAAATCTTAACACTCTTTCTCATTCACCCCAGATGTATGGGAATAAATATTTTTGAGAATGTTATCATAGTCAAAAACTAACGATTATTTCTCAGATGACTTTACTTTCGTTTTCAAATTCAAAGTGGTTCAAGATTGCACCCTAACTGTTCCCTACTTACGTTCTTATTGTAGCAATTACATGTCAATTGAAATGGATTGAACTGTGATTGAGATTGACAAAGGAGCAAAATACCTATGCTAAGGCAGATTATTCGGCGTCGGTACACTAATTACATCAGGTTCAGTGGGCTGCTAAATCAGCCCCTTGTGGTCGCGACCTGTGAAGATGTGGGTTAGAATTGGTCTTCAGCAACCCATGCTTGTCATAAGAGGCGACTAACGGGATCGCTGACTTGGTTGACACATTTCATCGTATCCCAACTGTGTAGATCGATGCTCATGCTGATCACTGGATTGTCTGACTCGGTTATTTACAGACCACCCTCATATAACTTGAATATTGCTGAATGCCGCGTTAAACAATAAACAAAATCATATGGTCGCCTTGAGGCCGAAGAGAAATATGATAAAGGGAGATAGATGTTAAGTTGACGGGAGGTAACTCTATCACGAGCTCCTCACACATGGCATATTTGAAATCTACACTGATTACATCTTGTTCAAAGAAATACCGTGACGTCTTCAACATTTTCAGTTTATTGGACCGAAGTCAGTATTTGGAATGTCACAGAGATAGTGTCGCAATTTAAAACATGTCAATATACATTGTGTGAGACACTGACAGATTCCATTTGCAGATTTCAAAATAATGTAGTTGTAGGTCCAATCTGTGGTCTGCAATTTGCTAACAAATGACGTCAGTGTTAGCTAACGCACACACAATAACTCTAACACAAATTATGGATGCCGTAATACATGTTCCAATTAAGGCCTCAAGTTAAGAACTTGATTGAGTCAATATCAACAAAGATCAGAAAATGACCTCAGTATTACTCAAATCAATATTGATCATGTCATTTTTGTCTGTTTCAAGTTTTGAAATGATGCGTTCACAACAATCTCGTCATGGCACTTAATATCAGAATCCCTCTGCTACGGTCACTACACATACCCTATGTCCAAAACGGACAAGAAGTTGTGGTGTTCGACCGTACATAAAACGTTTTGTTCAGAAACGCAGGTTTTCCGGACTAGGATATGGTCCCTGTATTGGACAGGTTCATTTCAAGAGTAATGCTTCCGTATCAGCATTATACAAAAGCTCTGAAACATCAGCCATGGACGCTACATCGTCGTGTCGGTGATAGACTTGTCCTTTGTGACGATGGGGTCTGGCTTCCAGTTGCTGTCGTTGATGACAACAGCTGATGAATCTTTGTCAGGGACGCTGCGTGATGTATACAAGAACACTCTGCAAACATGAATATCTTTTGTTCATCATCTTAGCCTTTTCTTTTCTGACACAATGAGGCAAAAGTGAATTTTAGTATTTCCGATTTATCTCTATAGGCACATGTACTGCATTCGTAACTACTCGTGTCATTCCGGCACGCCGGATGGCGACTCGTACTCCTCTCGTCACAATGTTCACGACTGGGCCTTGTCTGAGCTCAAATGGGCACGGTGATGAAAATAGTCTAGGACTATTTCCAAGGAAAGATAACTCTGAATTTCCAAACATGGCTACTCTTAGAAAACGCCAATTAATTTATGATACAACACAAAAGTCACTTTAAGTAAGTTTCTTATGTCGCTAACAAATATCAATAACACGATAATTTCATAATCACGGAAATGATAATGAGAATCGATAATCGCAAAGAAACTATTTGACTACATTTCACATTTTGCTACGCGTGATTTGATTGTTTGCCAGGATTCTTGTCAATAATGGCGTACTATACAGGTACGAGTCTTCTTGTAGGTCACGGAAAGAGGCGAGTAGTTACGAATGACATGCACTTATGCTGAACAGTTATTCTAACCATTCTTCTGGATACCTTTGGTACCCTATTTACTGCACCTGTCAACGTCAACTCAACAACACATGTCACGACCAATGAGAACTCTTACCATGCAAAAATACAGAACTTAGACAGGGAACCATCATTACGCCGGTGCTATGGATTTCTGAATGTTCAAGACCTGTACTCACACTATGATAACTCCAGCCAACAGTTGGCATCCCGCACAGACGAAGAAGACAAAACCACGGAGCATCTTCACAGTGGCATTATACATCTCGTTGAAAACTGTTACCCCTGTACCTGATGAGATGATGTTCACAAGTCCGATACCCGCAAACAGCGATCCTGAAATCAATGTTCACGAATGGATCAAGATCTTCTTATCGTTTCATGTTACAATCACTATTTGATAGCGTTTCAAAAACACATGCTAATGATGTAAGGGAAATCGAACAGTGGCGATTTCTAATGATTATGGAGACTTCGATTATATATCACCGTGATCGTCACTGTTCACTTACTTACTACACACGATTCATTACAACAAAACTACCCATCTCTTTATCTGGTTTTGCCATATGCATCTGAATGTCAAATATAGGACGTCAATGCAAAAGAATACCCAGTCTTGACTATCTTCAAAAAACATATTGCTTTGGGGAAAAAGGAAGAAATAGCTGTGAGAAGTATGTGAATGGATCAATAACATCAACCGTTCGCAAAAAGGGAAAGCATGTCATGCCCTACCGGTAGCACCCGTCATTCACACATTTTGCTTTAAAATGGAAGGATTTTTTGCCTGACGCTCATGGAATATCCGGTCTTTCGAACTTACTCTTTACAAGCCTGACACTGTCCATCTTTAGTTCTCTGCATACTCACCCTGCATTTCAGGAGGGGCCATCCTCGACATGACAGCCCGCAGAGCCGGCAACAGAGGAGCTGCAATACCATTCGGTAAAACAACTGCAACAAACAATCCTCTTTAAACAAAACCAAAGACCAACTAATATGTATATATTCTTTTTGTAGAATGATATATCAATGACAAGGTATCGGGTCATCAGCTTATTGTCACACTTTTGTCAAAAACCCTGTGAGGCCATCTCTGTGAGTTAACTTAAAGTTATTACAGTGAAGATATTTATTCGCGTTCCTTACTGAATGGTGACTTACACATGAAAAGCATGAGGTCAGTGTTGGCCAACCCATGTAGGACATAGGCTCCTGTCTGAATGACAGATGCTATGATGCCTATTCCTGGATCTGAGGTGCACAGATGGAGAAGTTTGATGACTGGAATTCCAAGAAATTGCCTGGAAAGGGCCAACGCCAAATTGAAATAGCCGATGAGTTCTGGTCCCCAACAGAAAGGCAGGTTCAGTTGAAAAAGGTATTCAACAAAATACACACCGGCCTGACTAAAATATAATATGAAATATGATGAAAGTGAGAGCCAAAAAAGACACCTCTTTGGACCAAAGTCTTTCGAAAAGTAGAATCCGAAGACATTTTTGACTGCTTTCACAGGTGTCGGGTACTGGGATCTTCTATCTTTGTTGATAGTTTCCGGGAGAAGAACAACGACAAGGATTAGTGACAGAAGCATTAGCGAAGCAGTAGTTATAGACGGGTAGAGGTAACCTAGGTCTTTGATGAAGTATCCAGTAATAACTTGGGAAGCTGCGGTTGCGAGGTAGGTGGTGAAATCTATCAAAGCGATGCCAACTGTCCTGGAGTTCTTAGGTGGTGTATTGTCAGCCGTGTAGGCATAACTGGCCAGAATGACACCATTATATCCCCCTGAAATACCTTCAAACACCTCACCAATGTACATGTAACTCAGATCTAGATTCCAGTAAATAACACCTGAAAATAGCCAAAACTTCAGAACCAGGCCGACCAAAGGTACTATGAAGAGGAATCGTCGACCAAGAAAATCAGAATATGCTCCAAGAAACATGCAGCTGACTAGTGCTCCGGAGCTTCCGATGACTGTGATTAAAGTTTGAATATCCGATGTCTTTTCCTGAACCCTTTCCTGTAACATATATCCTGGATCCGACTCATTGACATAACACTTGGATGTTTGATTTGGAGTGTTGGTAGACCCAGTGCTGTTATCGAACTCCTCATCGTAGTACCTCTTGTACAGGTATTGCGTTAACAGTGGATTACGGACATTGATGGCCAAATGGAAAGCAAGAAACACAAGGTTTGCCTTGAGTAGATTTCCCAGTTTAGACTTCTCTTCTTTGTCGTTGTTTCCCAGAAGAGGAGTAGACTCCATGTTTGTCAAGTATCATGCAACCAAGATATTGTGGTCCACCTTGCTTCACTTGCTCCAAGTCAATGACCTGTAGCCTATTGTCGTAATTCGTGTCCAATGCATGCAGTGACGCTGATAAACTTAGTATGTGTGAGATATGAGACAACTACGATACCTCAGATAATCAGTTGTGTGACGACCCGTGATTCACTGTCCCTCGTGATATGGCATTGTGGAATTATTGCTGTTAGGGTTGAAAAATGTTAAAATAATACTATTAATTATATTGTTTGGAAAACTGTCGTAATTATACCTTTTGTTACTTATGAACAACTTAGCTGTGTTGAAATATGAAATGCCACTGATTAGATAAACATGTGAGGCTAACTAAACTGTGGAGGGAATGGTCTCGTGGATGCATAGCTATATTGGAATTTAATTACAAAGTATTTGTATTATCCTATTTTCTGATTGGCTGACGTGGAATCAGAACTGAATGTTATTTTTCGATACCTACAGGGAGTGTCTCCCGGTGACCTTCACCTTGGCAAGTGAACGTTTATAGAAAGACTCTTAAACAGTGTACATTGTTCGGGAATTACACTTAAGATTTGCCTTCTCTTAATGCATGTATGTTGGCTGATATATTTCACTGGCTAATGCATAAAATAGAAATATTATGGGACAACACTTTAGTGTTTCTCCTTATTAAACAAGTTCTTAATTAATTAAATAAGACAATGCCGAAGTCCTTATGTGCAAAGTGTGGTACCGCCTGGCCATTCCTGTTGGTGCAGGGGCCTTAACTTCCTCCATCAGTTGCGTATGAATCTCTTTGAATTTTGTGCATAGGATGGCTGGAACAGAATATGCAATATTATCCTACTAAATACACCCAAACGTATGCAGGGTAGGATATGTGACTCCAAAGCTCCACACTGAATCGGGCCGCCTCCGTGGTTTAGTGGTTAGAGCGTCCGCCCGGAGAGCGGAAGTTCGCGGGTTCGATCCCCGACTGTGTCATACCAAAAGACGTTAAATGATGGTACTTGTTGGTCGCTGCATGGCGCTCGGCATTAATGGGTACAACAAGGACTGGTCGGCTCGGAGTCAGTATAATGTGTCTGAGTGGGGCTTCACTGCGGCATGGTATCTCAGTGGGCTAGCACTATTAAAATCAGCTTCATTCTGGGCTAGTGCAAGCAGCCGCATATACACATACACACGCATGCACGTCGTCATATGAGCGAAATATTCTCAAGCACGACGTTAAACCCAATTTCACCTCACCTCACCACACTGAATCGCTTCAAAATGCTGCAACATCGGCATCCTGATTCAAATGCACGTTCTTTCAGCATCCCCCCGAGAATCAGGATCTTGTTTTTATTCTCCTTTTCTGTTGTATCTGTTGGTAAATATTGGATGGCTCAATATCCTGAAATGAGTGAGTGAGTATGGTTTTACGCCGCTTTTAGCATTATTCTAGCAATAGTCCGGCGGAGGACACAAGAAGTATGGAACTGATAGGGAAAAGAGTGAGTTTAGTTTTACGCCACACTCAGCAATATTCCAGCTATATGGCGGCGGTCTGTAAATAATCGAGTCTGGACCAGACAATCCAGTGAGCAACAGTATTAACATCGATCTACGCAATTGGGATACGATGACATGTGTCAACCATAATCCCGTTAGTCGCCTCTTACGACAAGCAAAGGTTGCTGAAGATCAGTTTTATCAGACACCAGATCAGTTCACATAAATGCATTGCCCCAAATATCTCCTATTTGCTTAAATCTTTACATGTCCTCATCAAAATGTCTTTGGTCTGTTCCCCAAATATTTCGTGTTGTTTTATTTTTACTTGGTGGTTGCCACCCGTGAAGGTCCGGGTTAGAATGAGCCTTAAGTAACCCATGCTTGTCGTAAAAAGGCGACTAACGGGATCGGGTGGTCAGGCTCGCTGGCTTGGTTGACACATGTCATCGGTTCCCAGTTGCGCAGATCGATGCTCTTGCTGTTGATCAGACTCGATTATTTACAGACCGCCGCCATATACCTGGAATATTGCTGAGTGCGGCGTAAAGCTAAACTCACTTACTCACTTAGTGGTTGCTGGAATATGGTCCGCCTATACTGACCTTTGGTCCAAAAACGTCTTTGTGGTTACCTAATGCGACAAGTGAATTTGACAAGTAAAATAAGATCAAACAGCCTAAAACATTTTAGTCACTAAACATTGGTCACTTCAGCGTTGACTAAATGACTCAGTGACTTTTTAATTAGATGGATTAATGCCATATTATCAATCACTGGTATTGCTGATCCAAGATCAGTTATTTTCAGGGCAATATCATAAAGCTGGAATAGTGTAAAGCAAAACAACACATTTTTCATAAAAATCTTTCTATTTGTTCCATATTAAAGTGTCAGTCTATGATGTAACGTAAATACTAACGAAAGGATTTGAATAACATTTTCACAAACCTCTAACAATAGCATATGTAATGCATAGTGAAAATAAGAATAGTTAAAGAAAATGGTATAAGAAATGCCAGACGAACAGTTTAAAATCCTGGGTGTTTCGTTGCATGAAAGTATTTTCGATTTACAGTTTCAAATTCAAAAGATGTGCCTGTTATGCTAATTTAGCTTACTGTTCCTAATGAAAGTTGTGTCAAAAAGAGCAGTCAACCATTGTTTTAAATAATCAATGACGTCATAGTTTTGTCTTCAAAATTTGTTGATTCATTGCAACCATGTTTGTGAAAGTGAAAGTATCTCTGTTCAAGCAGACTACTCATGCCTTTCCAGAAGCCATTGTAATCCTCATGCTATTGACATTGAGTTGGTTTGGATGATTCTCTTTCTCATTTTCCTAGTGTTATGATAGATAGAGTCTCTGTGTTACCTATGTCAAAATTATCATTTTTGCCTGTTTCAAGTTTTACAAGCATCTCCGATCCACACTAGACACACTCTATAGCCAAACTACAATTAAAACTGATACTCCGGAAAGCACCGATCATCCAACAAATCTCATAATGGATTAAAACTTTAATGATAAATATATAAAACGTTTCCTGGCAGTTATGTTCATTTCAAGAGTAATAACTCAGTATCATCCTCGTTCCTTGACGACAACATCAACAACGGACGCCACTGTCATGGCGCCAACTACCGTCGAAGGGAGACTGGACGGAAAATGATCCAGAATAGTAAGCAAATACACAACCCGATTGTTGGATACAACCATTTATTAAAGCTAAGTACCTGCTCAAGTATGAATGAGCTTGCACCTCAAGCACAACAACAAGCCGTTAGAAACAACAAGCTAACTAGCTAAGTAAACTCGCCTTAATAGACTAGCTCAGGGATCAGACCATATATTGACTGGTGACACCTAATGAGTGGGAGATGATAATAAGGACCCAACAACTGCCACTTACAGGGAGAGTATTGGGTCAATAAACATTTAAAACCCCAAGTGATCCATAGGACAAACAGACCAGAACAAGATATACCATCACAAAAACCAGTCTTGAGCTCCCATGTTCGGTCCCCACGATGCGGCAATTGACAACTGGTAGTAGGCCGACATGCACACAGCAGTCTAACTTTCCCCAGGTGTGTTGGATAACTGGCCACGTCCAGCTATAACGTAACCGCGCGGACGTCGCAGAGGACATACCTCACGCGAGGGTGAAGGTTGGCACCTAGACTCTGTCCAACAAAGAAGTGTGCTAATACTTGGGTACATAAACGGCCATAAGTAACTTGTAAGCGTATGTACAGTGAAGGGGAATACATGTATAAGAAGAGCGTTAGCTCTACAACAATTAGATATAGGTGGATATTGAGACAATAGTTTGTAAAATTTTGTAGTTAACAAAACCCCTGATAAAATAAGGGGTATACATAAAGGTGGGAGCGGTATAAACGCTTATATCTCCCTTATAACATCAGAAACAGTGACGGGAGTAACATATACAAAAAACTAGTAAACTCCTCTACAAGAGGGTACAATGCATAACAAGCGAAAAGTAGCAACAGGGGACCCACGGCTCAACTAGATTAGCTGAATATACAATTGCGCAGGCACTTACGGCCATGTTGCATAACACACACGCGAGTCGCGTGACAGTCACATGGTCGTGTCGGTGACAGACTTGTGTTGGTAGATGATGAGGCCTGGCGTTTAGTCATTGATGCCAACAGTGGAGGTATCAGTTACACTCCTGCGGCGGGAGATATACAAGAACACTCTGCAACACATGAATATGTATTTACTTAATATCTCATTTTTTTTATTTGCACGATGTGACATCTAACGGTTACCTCTTGCAAACATCTCAGCTGGTACATACACTGACACTGTATGCGAGATGAAGATGGTCCTTACCATTTTTTTGTCGAAATATATCAAATATTTCAAATATACCAAATAAACATACTACACATGCCTAATGCTGCCACTAGTGTTGTTTCAGCGGAATTTCTCGTTACTTCTATCTATTTCTGGTTACTTCAAGTTTTGAATATTTTCTTGTCATTTCAAGTAACGTAAATACTGAAAATCTCGAAAAAATAAACGAAATAACGATAAAATACTAAAACATTTAAGAACACCGAGAAATATTAGAAGCAGCGAGAAAATACACGGATTTTCAGGTTGTTGAAAGAAATTTGAAATAATCGAAGCAATGAGAAACTAATCAATGAGAAAATATGTATGCTGCAAAACTAGCAACATTAGTCTTTTATACAATATAATCCTATCCATGAAATGTAAACATACAAAGATACTGAAATAGATTAGGAGACCATCAATTGGTCGGGTTATCTATGGACGTCCTGAATGTTCAATACTCGCAACAAGACATGTACTCACACTATGATAACTGCACACAACAGTTGGCATCCCGCACCGGCGAAGAAAACAAATCCACGGAGCATCTTCACAGTGGCATTATACATCTCGTTGAAAATTATCATCCCAGTACCCGATGAGATGATGTTCA